TCGCTTTACTAGCCGCAGCATCACATTGCAGGCTCATGTTCATCTTGTGGTCAATGATGACCCCCAAGTCTCTTTCTTCTGTAGTGCTAGCCAGCGTAGCATTGCCGAGCCTATAAGGATGCTGCCGGGTTTTTTTTCCCAAGCTGGAGAACCTTGCATTTTTCAGTATTAAACACCATCAGGTTCTCATCCGCCCATTTGCTGAACCTGTCCAGGTCAGCCTGGATCACCTGCCTGTCTTCTGGCGTGGATGCTTTGCCCCAAAGCTTGGTGTCATCAGTGAACTTGGCCAGTCCGCTTCTGACTCCAATGTCCACATCATTAATGAAGATGTTGAACAAGATGGCAGCAGTACATAGGGCAGCCTTGACTGGCTGACCCAGACTGCTCAGAGTCAGTTTGTGTGTCCCGCTGTAGTGCAATGTGGGATTGTGAAGGGGGCGTGTTTTGCTCCCTGCTCAACTGGAACAGCAGAGTTCAGTCTGGGTGGTATACACTGCCCTTGGGATGAGGGTGGGAAAAGATAGCAAAGCACCTTGGGATACTGAGAACTGTGCAGCAGCTGCTCTCCTGGAACTCATTCCTGGGTTATTTTTATCCTGAGAAGCCTTCTTTATGCTCTGGGATAAAGATTCTGAACATCTGTACAATTGTGGTTTCTACTGGGAGAGCAGCAATCTGAATATCTGTACATGGCATAAGAATGATATTGGGAATGTTTTCTTCCATTTAGGACAAAGATCAGTGTAGAGAATCCCTTCTTGGCAGCAGACATCAAGAGAGATTCCAAGTCTGAAAGGAAAAAGCATCAGGTAATGCAGAGATTGTGTGCTCATGTGCGCCTTTTTCAAAGTGTATAAATATTATGCTGTTGTGACTCAATAACAGCATTGCTCATTGTAGCATAAGGATACGGTTTGTATATGAAGCCTGGTGTCTTGATCAGTGACTGAAATGCCCAAAATAGAGCTTTACAACAAACCAAGTGAGCAGGGGTGGAATTATCATTTAATGAATGAAGGAATAACTAATTGTATTGTGTGGTGTGTGTTTTTGTGTGTTAACTTCAGATTAAGTCAAATGCTCACTTTCACAAGCTTTTTCTGGAGGTCGCAACTGAAGAGCAACTGAAACAGAGTAAGTATTAAATCATCACTTTGTTTGCTGCTTAATCCAGTGGACAATTGTATTCAGTGACAGGACAATTCAAGCTGTATATTATTTAAGATGTACTTACTAAATGAATACCTATTACATATGCAACTTAAGTCAAAAAGCCAAAACACAAACTAAGGCCTACTCCTACCTCTGCTTACAGAAATTTTACAGAATGAAACTTAGTTCCCTATATATATAATTTTTTAGGAGATGTTATGAATCAAGGTCTGTCTTGAGACTGCTTTGCTTTTACAGTTAGAAGTAGCCAAGACTTGTCTTTTAACATCTAGTACCTACAGAGCGCATGAAGGTTAGATGTAAGAGGACTGGCTGGGTCACTTTGAAGACTTTCATGTTCATAAATGTATGCCAAGAAATAATCTCCACTCGCTTTGCATGTGTCCAGGCTCACAAATTGGTGACACACATGGCTCCAGAGTGGCCCTGAATGTGTGCATTTGAAACACTGAATCTGAATGCAGGGTTAAGAGAAGTTGAATGTGGTTCTAGGATGTTGACTTGGAGGCACTAAGCCATGCAGGCCCACCCTCACCAGCCATTTATTCTACCTCATTTGAATGCCTATGCATATGCAAAGCAGCTGCAAATAGGCAAGGCGTATTTCTCAACCTTGCTCAGGAGGTGGTCTAGAGATTTCATAGTTTCAGAATTTAAATTTCAGGCTTGGATAGGAGGAATTGGAGATGGCTATAAGAATGCAAATGATAGCAATTGTGACAGAATTGTAAAAGAAGAAATAAAAGGTCACTTCCTGTCATAAACTAGAAACTAAATCAGGGTGGCATATATGCTGCAAGTGGCATGGGCATCTGTGTGTGATGTGCAGCAGGCCAAGGAATACACAGGCAGCAGAGTTGCAGATAGAGCAGAAAACAGCAGCAAATCAGGCAGGGAACACAGGGCAGGAAACAAAGTGGAGCAGCCAATTGGGCAGTGAAAGAGGATCACAGCCACACTTGGAGGGTATAAGACTAATTTGCGGCACTCCTGCTGAACTTGCTGGCCCTCACTAAACTAGACAAATGGGCAAGATTGACCACAAAGTAATGTTAAAATATAGTGTCCAAAAATATACTGTCCAAATAAGAGTCTCAATCTGGTCTTAGGCAAGTCTGAAGGAATATTTTTATTTAGGATTTCAGAGAGAGAGAGCAAGAGATTGGGAGGCAATGGCAGAGCAAGCCAAAAGATGGTGCACCAGCATTGCCAGGACAGGCCACCTGATTCCATGTCAGCCTTCAGGATAGGGGTGGGGGTTCTGTGACAGAAGTAATATGAAAAGATTCCATGACTTCAAAAGTTTTAATGCTCTACATCAGTGGTTTTCAAAATAGCTCCTGTTGGGCTGCAACTAGTCTCAGTATTAAATAATGCACTTCACCTCTCTGTGTATATATTGGTAGGTTTTACCTGTGCTCTGCAAAAAGAAATTCTGTACCAAGGAAAGTTATACGTATCTGAGAACTGGATTGGTTTCCATTCTAAAGTCTTTGGTAAAGACACTAAGGTTAGTAAAAAAAAAAAAAAAAAAAAAAAAAAAAAAAAAAAAAAAAAAAAAAAAAATTCTACAGTGCATTTTTTTCCTAGCATCTAGGTATTCACTAGAAACTCCTCCTCTCCTTATTGTGCAGAACTAAAATAAGCCTATCTTTGTGGTCTGTGTTTTGTTTTGTTTTGTTTTATTGAGTATTAATGTAATAGTAACCTACAACTGCAGTCAGAATTGGGGCTCTGTTGTACTATATATATGCAACCAGTACAAAGGAAGATGTGATCCTTGGCCCAAAGAACCGGCAGGGTAAAAAGACTGCTAAAAAAATAGACAAGAGGCAAGGATTTTTTTTAGGACGGTACATTTTATTGGACCAACTATGCAGTTGGGATAAAGTTAGACAACATTTTGAATGCAGGACATTCTTCATCGGGTCTCTGATCACAGGAATTGCAGTAAAATAGGGAGGAGATGAAGGCAAGGGAGGCACGATCAGCATGACGAGGGCTTCATTCCTTGTTCTGCTTCATGGAGTCTTGTGCTGGAGGGGCAAAAGGAGGCAAGACTGAGAAGCACAATGCATAGGGAGAGCATTTGTTTGGCAGATGAGTGCGAATACACAATCAATAGCAATTCAGTGACTAAATAAAAACAGTGGTGATTGAATAAAGAGACTGAAGTCAGGGACGGAAGTATTCTCCCAGTGTCCCTTCCTGTTCTTCATGGGACGCTAGGAAGGGGAGAATGCTGGGATCTGCATTCTGGATCATTATCTGTGCAACTCTTATTGTACTGCAAAGACTCCAATTAAGACTTGCACATTCAGAAAATGAGGCAGTTCATGTCCCAAAAGCTTAAAGTTTTCAATGTATATCCTATCCAGGCTTCTAATCCTTGGGACCCTGTTGAAAGTAATGTTGCTGATCTTACTGTTTTTGCTTGGTCTTCTTGTGGGTATACTTTTTGCCCTGAGCTTGTTTGTGCAACTCCTTGAATGAAAACTAAATTCAGATGCACACCTTTTACATAACTTCTAGGATACCTTAGCCACTTAACCAACAGAGGAAGGACATCCTGTCAAAAATCTCCAGGGAATTCCTCCTAATCTGAAGCAATATTAAGATGATGAAATAGGATTGAAGAGTTTTACGTGACTGAGTTGTGACTCAGTGTGACTTGATGGATTCTATTCAGTCAGGGTTCATTCGTTGACACAAATGGGTAATGGCAGACGTGGTCCAGATAAGGATATAAAAACAAATGAATTCAGATTCTGCCAACCTCAACCTTAGCTCATACCAAGTAGTGCTTTACTTGGTGGGTAGTTTTATTAAAACTAATAAGATTATCTTTTACTTGGACTGGATATCTGCACACTCTGAAAGTAGCAAATTCCAACCCAAATTGAGTTTCAGATTTTGAAAAATGAAGTTTAATACACAAGAAGAAATATAATCCACTTTCCTCAAGCTAAATGGGATGAGTGAACCTGAGAATAGATAATATGGAAAAACTGAGGACTATTTATGTACTTATATTGTTTGTTTGTGTATATTTTATTTATAATGAAATTGCTCCTGGATTTGTAGTGCTTGTAGATGAGCACCTATTATTGAAAAGATACTGAAAAAATTGAAGGGTTTCAAAGAAACATAATGAATAACTGTCAACTAAGAGGGACTAAATTATGAGGAAAGAGCCAAAGGTTGTTTTTTGTTGGTTTGTTTGTTTTTGTTTTAACTAAGCAGCAGCTAACAGACAAATAGATATGAAATAAACCTACAAACTTCATGGGTGCCAAAAGCAGAGGAAAAGGGAACTCTGGATTCAATTTTAGCAGAACTGGTGATACAATTTTGGGAAAAATAAGAGTTGTAAAATAAGCTGAATATCAGGAACAACTTTCTAACAGAGCTATCCAACCTCTAAGTGGCTAGGGAAAACATACCTCTGCTAGTGGGGCCGTTGGAGCCCCAGAAGCCACATAATTCCTCCCTTCCCCTCCCCCTTCCTTCTCTCCCTACCATGCCACATCCCCCAACTCACTCTTAGCTTCCCCACTGCACCCCCAGAATGTGGGAACCTGGAAAATACACTATAGGAAATGTCCCCTCTTTAAAAAAAAAAAAAGGCACTAGACCTACATGACAGAGGTGTAACTGGTCATTTCTGCCCTGGGCAGCAGCAGCAACAGCTGGCTGGTAGCTATGGTGGCTGCTATATTTGCACACACCATCCTCCAAGTGGGTACCCGGGACTGCTATTAGTTTAGCTACTGCTATGTGATCTGATCAGCTTCTTACCTTGAATGTCTCTTAAGTCCTCTAATCAATAGCCACAAGTGCTTCATGCTCTTTGGGCTCCTCTAGACATGCAGGTAAAAGTGCAATAGGATCTGATGCATGATCCACACAGTCACGCTCAGTGCCGTAGTAAGTTGGGGGCGAGCGGGGCAACTGCCCTGGGCACCGAAGCAAAAGGGGCACCAACAGAAACTGCCCAGCCGGGGAGGAGCATGAGACGGAGCTGCAAGCAGCTTGTTTTGGTGGGGAGATGCAGGGACAGGGGAAGGGCGGCCCCTGCCACTGCATACACACCCAGGCAAGCATGGAGGTGGGGAGGTGTGCCCCCTGGATCTGTGCATGGGGTGAGGGCAGGCTGCTGCTGCAAGCTTTGCTTGGGGCACCAAACTTAGCTGCTACAGCACTGGTTGAGTTTCCTGCCAGTGCCACACATGCATTGCAAGAAGCATGATTGTGGGCTCGCAAATTAGCTGATACTGATGCAGTCTTCCAGTCACAGGTGCTCCAGGTGTCCCCACAACTGGGAGATCGCACCACCTATGGTCTCCCAGCATCAGCTCTGAGCTCCCAGGCTCTGGGGTGCACATAGAGGCCCTCTGGCTGGGCGTTCTGATCAGCTGAAGGGGCCCCTGGCTACACATTCAATTAATGGTGTGATAGTAAGGAGCTGCAAAGGTATTACGCTTATTTTGTGGAATAACTTTGTGGTTTATTCCTTTTATCACTCCATTAATTGTTTGAATGTGTGGCTGGGTGATAATTTAAGATGTGATTAACTGGTTAATCACATCTTAAGTGTAACATGTAGATGGGCCCTGAGTGTGTTCTATTGAAGTGCATGTAATCAGGGTTGGATTGTGGTGAATGGAGAAGCCTTATTTGTGTTTATAAGTAGAAGAGATTTTATTACAGTGCTAGATAGACCTCTAAACACTTAGCAGATCAGTTTGAAGCACTGTTCCATGTGGATCCTTGCAATCCTTATTTGTGTTTGCTTCATATCGCAGAATATTATGGCACACTACAGTTTCCCACTTTATTCTACTTCTCCACATGACTTTGTTCTAGACCAGTGATTCTCAGCCAGGATGATGGTACCTACTACTGTCAAACTAATCAACTTTACCTGCCTCAGAGTTTTGAGTTTTAGCTGTTAAGCCTTTCTAACATGGCCAGAACCTCAGCTCAGCCGAAAAGGCTTGACCTCTTCAGTTTACAGCAGAGGTACCGCATACCCATTGCTAAACTGAGCATTTGACAAAATATTATGTCCATCCTAAGCAAAATATTGGTGAAATTGGAGGGTTAAGCTGGAAGAGAATACGAAGTTAGAATGAAATATTTAGATAAAGGCTTCATACCACTTGTTAGCTTTTGCTTATTTTGTCTTTAATAAGACCCACTATGCAAAGCAGCAGAGTCCTGAAATGGTATATTACCCTGCGGTAGTATCTGCTTTCATTTGTTCCATGAAAGGTCACTTACTGGCCCATCTCTTATAATTCTAATAGGATGGCTATTTACCCTAAACGATCATATCTGCCTGTCTTCCTACTCACTGCCCTGCCCCTCTCCCCCCCCCGCCAAATAACACAGAATAATATAGGTTTTTAAAATGGGGCCCATACAAAACTCCTGGATCAAAATACCCTAAAATTCAACAAGCTGATCACTAATGAAATTACATTTAACAATGAAGTAGGGAGGAAAAAAATAAGGTCATACTGACTTGTGATATATTTGTCAGGTGCACAATGAAAAGGTGGATGATATCCATGAGGATTATCTTAAAGTATATTAAGCATGGGTATGTTGTATGATCCTTTCAATAATGATCAAAGAACTGAACTGTTTACTCAGCTGTTTCATGTAAGCTAGTTTCTTTACAAATGGTGGGACACAATAATTTCAGTGTGCTCATTCTTTTGACCTGCATCTCTGTAGTTTTGGAGCATTTCTTTCATAAATAAGGAAGTTTTGGCATGGAACCTCACTTATGCGGCATTACTTGATGAATGGCTGTTTTGCAAAAATGGAACTAATTCAGACTATGTCTTAAAACTCTACTTTCCAAAGGAGGGAAGAATTTTTTTTAGCTAATTGATAAACCAGCTAATGAGAAAGCAAAAAAAGATGTAAAAATCAGGGTTTCCCCACATCAACACACATCCTCCGAAATAATCAGAAGAGGGACCTGGAAGATAATGAGAACAGATAACATTTCAGCATTCTTGATTTTTTTTCCTGTTAATAAAGTAGTTTTCATACAACTGACTATTTGTAAATGACCACAAATGCTATTGAAGTATTACATTGTTCAGTGCCTTAATATAATGATCTCCTTTCAGATTAGTATACCTGTGGTCTCAGTAACACTGATAAAGAAAACCAAAACTGCCCTTCTGGTGCCAAATGCGTTGATCATAGCTACTGTCACTGAGCGGGTAAGTTTGTGCAGCATAGTTATCTTCCTCCTCAATTTCTTCTTCTGTTTATAGCCAGTGTCCATTAGGGTAGACTCGGGAAGATCCGGTGATCATATATAACATGGGACCAGGTCTCCCCTCAATGTGATCTATCATCACAGCCACACAAAATCAAACACTGCAGGATTTGGCTTCTGGACCCTCTAAAGAGAACTGCACCTTTACCCCCTGTGTGGGTAGGAGGACAGAACAACTTTCATTGCCACCTTCTTTCTCTTCTTCCCTGGGATCTCCTTCAGGTTGGAGCTGTGTAGTTAGCAGAAGAGGGAGAAGGGATTAAAGAGGGATTAAAGAGGTACCAGCACCTTTCTAAGGATTCATTTCCTGCTTATTGCTGAAATTTATTTCAGAGCAATCTGAGAGGCAGTTGAACAGCTGGGGAGGCAAACTGTCACAACCTGGATTGGTAGCCAGGTCTGCAACATCTATGGTTCTCCTTTGTTACCAGTTGGATAGGAGGCCACCATCTATTTCAGTTGAGTTGTGCTTGATAAGCAGCCCACACTAGTATTCACCCATTTTTTTTAAATGGTGTTTATAATTTTAAAAAAAACAAAACTTGAGTATCTCAAACAACATCTGCAATGAAAGGGGCTGTTTTTTAAACATAACGATGCAGAAGGAAAGTAATTTCATCTTACTGAAGCATATTCCCCGTCTTCTATCAAAGTCTCATCTAAGGCTTGGCAAACCACCCTAGTTTTGCCCAGGTATGAGCTTCAGGATTTGGCATATTGTATGATGTCTTGTGCCTGATCCTTTATACTCTTTTAAAGTGGGTCCTTTACCTCACCATTTGTGGGCCTTTGTTTACCAATTCACGAGAGTCACTGAACCAACAGATACACCCCACTTAAGCACACAAGTTTCACCTTTCTCTACAAAATGTTTCCTTAAAAAATAAACCAACTTTGTGAATGATTTTGTTTTTCAGTACATATTTGTCTCCTTACTCTCAAGAGACAGGACCTACAAATTATTAAAATCTGTCTGTAGGCATCTAGAGGTTAGTATTAACAGAGCAAAGCTATGTTGCTCAGTTGTGCTCATTATAACTGCTTTGTTAAGGATTTAGTAAGTAGATAACTGGATCTTGTCTTTTGCTTTTATTTTTTGAAATGGCTGTCAGGGCACAAGTGTTGGCAACAGTCCTAATCCATCTTCTGCTGAAAACAGCTTCAGGGCTGATCGTCCTACTACTCTGCCTTTGGTAAGAAAACTGATTTTTTTTTCATGATAAGTTTTGATTCAGTATAAGTCCAAAAGGTACAAACTTTTGTACAATGTCCCACATGGAAGGAAAACTCCCCACAACAGGTTTTTGTGGGGTTTTCTTAAACCCCAAATAGCAACTAGCAATAGCTTCCTGGGTATTAGCTGGATGTACAGAACAAGGCATGAATACATGCAGTGTCTGCACTTGTTCTGAGTATACAGTCCATTCATGTTATGCATGGAAATAGAAACATCTAGCAATGAAGAAAGATCCAACACCCAGTCTTTCATAATATTCTGTGCTAACTTGCAGAGGAAGCAACTTGCTGCAGTTGTCAGGGATGGCAGCCCAACAGGCTTCTCCAAGCTTTGCTTACAGTCCATCCCCTATATATTAGTTCAGTTGACTGGTGAAAACAGAGTTGATATTTACTGCTTAACATATAAACTTCACCCAGAACTTAAGCTTTATAGTCATACTTCATGATATAAAGAGTTGTTATTTCAGAGTCTGTTACACAGTTTGGAGTGGGGAGGTGGGAGAAGAGATGGGGAATAATCTGTATAATTTCTTGGGGCTTTCCTGGCTCTCCTGATGACCCTTTTTCCTTCAGGATTTCAATGAAGACTACTCAGATTTGGATGGCATAGTACGTCATCGGAGACGAGAGTTGGAAGAGTCTAGCAGTAGTGGTTCTCAGACCCCTGAATTGGAACACTTCCAAGGTTAGCATAATTGCAGAGCCTGAAGTATGATTGTTATAGTATGAAAGTATGAGTGTTTGGGAGGAGGCAGGAAGAAGTCTTGATTATTCTCTCAGGTCCCTCAGTTTTCATTTCAGTCTAGGTCTCTGACTGCATTTTGGTTCTTGTAGCAGGATACTGTGTGTGCCTGCCACTCTAAGGACCTGGAGCTGGCAGCCGCCAGGTGCCTGATGGGACGGCCATTTTGGGATCTGCGGCTGCCCATATAAACAGGGCACTTCAGCTGCTGGAGGCCAGGCCACAAGAGTCAGCTTTAGGTTTCCTGTAAACTCAAGCAGATATGGCTGAGGTTTTGAACCACTCTGGGTGCATCTACATGAGATGCTTAACTGTGCTGTAGCATAGTTTACTGTGCAGTAAGCATGCACATCTACATGTGCACATGCTTACTGTGCAGTAAAAAACCCTACTCTTAAGTGAATTTGATACTTACATTTCCAGGTATCAAATTTATGTGCAATTAGTTACTGCACAGTAACTCAAGTGTAGACTCGACCTGGGAGCAAATTCGCTCCCAGGTTAGCCCTGCCACTAGGGGGCCAGCCTGAGGCTAGCCCCAAGGATTTGGGCTAGGAGCCTCTCCTGCCCCAGGGCTGGGCTTCCTCTATAGCAGTCTCTGCATTTTAAGCCTTTAAAAGCCTGCAGGCATTTTGAACCCTGGAGCACACCAGCAGGGAGCCTGAGGCTACTCCAGTCCCCTGTGTCCCCTTGGGCAGGCCACAGGCCAGTTGGTCCCATCTGCCTGCAGCACAGTGCTGCTGCCTGGCACTGCAGTGCCACGCAGCTGCAAGGCCGACATCATCCAGGCCTCCAGGCTGCTGCAGTTTCCAACCAGGCCCACCAGCCCCCAGGCCCAGCTGTAGGCAGCTTCTAGCTGCTGAGGCCAGCTTCACCTGCCCACAGCCCACCCTCAGCAGCCTGTGCTGAGCCTGTAGGTGTTGCGGAGCCTGTAGGTGTTGCAGGGGATTGTCTCAGCCACATAGCTGTCAGGCCCAGGCTGGGCCACTACACTGGATGCTGCAGGCAGATGGCAGCACAGGGACAGCTGCGCAGAGGCCCAGAGAACCAGCATAAGACCCATGTTGGCCTTGTCATTGCTGCTGCCTATATGCATGCCCATGTCTGCCACCCAGGGCCCCAGCTGGTCATAGGAGGAAACTGGCAACCTGATGGCACTGTGGCGCAAGGCAGAGGTACAGCGCCGGTTTGAGCAGGGTGGGTGCTCCAATGTCCATGTCTGATGGGATATCAGGCCGGATGCAGGAGCGCAGGCACAACCAGTTGGCATGGCAGTGCCACACATAGATCGAGGCCTTGTGGACACAGTAGATTGCCATCACTAACCATAGTTGTCTGTCAGGGAGTGCCTACAAGTCCATGCCCTTTATGCAGCAACTAAAAGACATCCCCAGGACCCAGGCCACAGTTGTGCTGTCTACAGCAGCACGGGCAGCCTGCCTGAGCCCCTACCCTGGCCTTGCACCCACAGTGATGCATCACCAGGGGAGGGCCCCCCAGACATCCAGCAGCTTATCCCACCAAGCTCCCTGGCTGCAATGTCCACCAGCAGCTTGGGGAGCCTGGACCAGCACCTGCTGCACCCATTCCTCAGCCCTAGGGCCAGCCACAAGACACAGCTGCCCATAACACTGCCAGCCGCCAGCAGCTCCTCCCCAGAGGAGGGCCCCAGCTGGGCACTCACCCGCTGTACCCTGCCATCCGAAGACGCCACCTGGAGCTGCACGCTGTCCAACTGGAGCCACCAGCGACACCAAGACCAACTGGAGCCACCAGTCACACTAGCCCGAGCCCCATGGCTCTCAGCCTGTCATCATAAGGTCTGTTTTCCTGACCTCTGATCATGCATGTGGCTCTTCTCTGGACTCTCTGAAGCTTCTCCACAGCCTTTTTTGAATTGTGGGGTCCAAAACTGGACACAGTACTCCAGCTGTGGCCTCACCAAGGCCAAGGACAAGGGAAGAATGACGTCCCGGGATTTGCTTGAGACGCATCTATGGATGCAAGCCAATGTTTTGGTCACTTTACTAGCCACAGCATCACATTGAAGGCTCATGTTCATCTTGTGGTCAGTGATGACTCTCAAGTCTCTTTCTTCCTTAGTGCTAGCCAGTGTAGCACTGCTGAGCCTATAAGGATGCTGCAGGTTTTTCCTCCCTTGGTGGAGAACCTTGCATTTTTCAGTGTTAAACACCATCAGGTTCTCATCCACCTATTTGCTGAGCCCATCCAGGTCATCCTGGATTGCCCTCCTGTCTTCAGGTGTGGATACTTTGCCCCAATATTTGGTGTCATCAGCAAACTTGGCCAGTCCGCTTCTGACTCCAAAGTCCACATCATTAATGAAGATGTTGAACAATACGGGTCCAAGGACAGAGCCTTGGAGGACCCCACTGGTCACAGGGCACCATGATGATTGACTTCTGTCAGTTACCACCCTCTGGGTCCGACCACAGAGCCAATTTCCCAGCCAGTGCACTGTGGTGGACCCCAGGCCACAATTGGCCAGTTTTGCCAAGAGGTGATCATGGGATACCAGATCGAAGGCTTTTTTGAAGTCAAGATATGACATCAATCTCTTCTCCTTTGTCCAGGTGATAGGTCACCTGGTCATAAAAGGAAATAAGATTGGTAAAGCAAGACCTACCTGCAACAAGCCCATGCTGGCTGTCCCTCAGGATGTTGGTGTCGGACAGTCCATTAAGGATGGCCTCTTTAATAAACTTTTCTAAGACCTTCCCCGGGATAGAAGTCAGGCTGATGGGCCTATAGTTTGCTGGATCCACTTTCCTCCCTTTCTTGAAGATGGGCATCACATTGGCCTTCTTTCAGTCTTCGGGCACTGGAGCTGCTCCAGTACACCTGGAAGGTGGTTCAAGTCATGCAGAAGGCCTCCAGCCACTGCTTATCATCCCACATGTGCTAAACAATGTGCCACCACCAGTCCTGGCTGACCTGGCAGGCCCAGAGGAGGCAGGGCTGGAGGCGTGACAGGGGCTCCAGCAGTGGCATCCTGGAGCCCATTATCAGCATCCTTGGTGGGGTTTGGCCAGGCAGACAGGGTCAAGGTGGCAGGTGCATTGCGGCAGCCCTGAGACGGTGGGCAGATAAATGGTTGCTGCGCATGGAGTAGTACGGAGGGTGAGACAGCCGTGGTGTAGGTGGCCATCAGCACGGCAGGCCAGCAGGAGGCCAGGGCGCTGATCATCACTGGCAGGGGCAGGGACTGGGGCAACCATAGCATGGGGAGGCAAAGGCAGCAAGGAGAGAGCTGTTGCGTGCTATCCCTGTACTGGCCACACTGCTCCTGGCCAGGGAAGTGGTTGGCCAGAGAGCAGCAAGCAGGGCTACCTTTTGAAGAGGGCTGCTGGCAGCTGCAGCCAGAGTCTGGCACAGATTGACGGCAAATCTGCACCCATTTCGCTGCACATGTAGATGCTTGCCTGGCACCATTTACTTTTGAGTAAACTGGTACTGCAGCAAATGCATGTGCATACTTTAATAGTGCTAAATCAGATGTCAGTGATGCTATGTTGCATATACATATTGGTGTTCAAAACATGTAAGAAAACAGAGCAGTAGGTCTACATCATGTGCTCCCAAAGTACATGGTTGAGAGAGACTGAAAGCTGGAAACCAAATATATGACTTAAATAGGTTATTTGATCCTATTATGCCATTTTCTCCTAGATTAAAGTCTTCTCTCTATTGTTATTCAGACTTTGATCAAGCTACCTTTTTAAGTATGCTAGATTGGTCAAGCCCACTTATTCTCCCCCTTGTAATTCATGTTACACTCCGCATGTGAAACACTTCTTGCAGTATTTTATAGAACCCTTTCTGATCTTTTAGCAATTACACTTCCTTCTCTCACAGGAAGATTATAATAAACTCATTAAAGGTAGTGGAACACTTTAATGGAGTAAAGTAATAATACTTTAATGGAGCCTATATAGCCATCCTAAACAGTAGTGGTCTCAACACTACAAAGATAATACCATTCACCTACTCTTCCCTGTGGTCTTGAGCTATAGACACTCAAATATAGACCTCTACAATCACAGCGTCATGCTCATCCCTCATGTCTGCTGGGCAAAGTAAACTGTATGCATTTCACTTTACTCGTTAGTAGCTGCATTGATTCAAATGGAACTTCTCATGTAAAAAACAACATGCGCATGTTCAAATCTTTGCAGAGCTGATTTTCCTTTTTGCTTATAAAACATACAGAATAACTGTGCTGATTCCTTAGGCATGTAGTCATTGGAAATAGGTTGAGTTCATGAAGTATTATATACCACACTAATTTTAAATACCATATTTACCTAAATCTTAGATGACCCTGAATTTAAGATGACTCCCCCAATAATTCAGTTGTATACATGGAAAAATAAACATGGAGGATTATAACAAACTTTTTTTTCCCCATATATAGAACCTAATTGCTGGGGGGATCATCTTAAATTCACCTGCTACCCCCCTGCCCCTTGCCCCAACCCACTGACTTGGGTCCCATTTCTCCCCTGTGTGCCCCCCGCTACCCCCCAGCTTGCTGCCTTCCCTTGTTCCAGCCCCACTGTAGCCTAAGGCATGGAGCATGTTTGCTCCAGGCCCATGACAGCTCCAGCTCCAGGGCCTAGTCTGAGCTGATGTTGCTGCTGTGCTGGGACCAGAGCAAACACATACTCTCTGCCCCAGACTGGGGCCAGAGCAAGGGTAAGCAGCAAAGGACTAATAGGGGCCACAAAGACTGTGGGGTTGGGGGAGGGGCAAATAGAGGGCAAGGGAGCAAAAGCAGGGGGGATAGGTAGCAGTTGTATTTCAAGTATTCATGTAATTTCCTCCTCTGGTTCAGGACTGGTGAACACCAGACTGCTGTTTTTGGTGTTTTTTGCGTGGCTTGCTCCTCTCCACCCATATACTATATTAGGTAAAGAAATGCTTCATCCCTCACTTAACAACCTTTACATATTTCCAAAACCTTGAAGTCTTGGAAAGTATTAGATGCTTCAGGTTTTTCCACTAATTCATGAAAGGAGGCTGGCAAGCTAGCTTTCTCATTGTAAATTATTTTGCATATTTTCGGTCATTTGAACAGTGTGTCCAAAGTTGGCCTCCAGGGAGACTTACGTTTGTATAAATCTCTATAATGTTAATAAAGCCATTGCTAGATTTTTTTCCTAACATCTGAAATATGCTGGATGTATGAATTAAAATTGGAATACACTTGTAAATGCTTGCAATTTATAGAAATAAGGCAAAATTCTGCGCTACTGTTCTATCAGGCCTACAGCAATATATGGACGAATGTGCCAGTTGTCTGGTGTTAATAATGTTATAAAAATATGACATGATTATAAGACATAGTATTAATAAGATGTTATATTATTAATTGTAAAGCATTATGTGTCTAATTAGAAGAGAAAGTATATGTTTTCTTTACTTAGGACCACCTAACAAGGTTTTAGTTTTAAATTTGGGAGTAGTCTTTCTTAGGAGTTTGAACTGTTTCCCCTCCCTTCCAGATTTTAGCAAGTAGATATGATCATTTTAGTGCTGGACAGCAACACTTGTGCTAATACCACTCATAATACAAACTTCTATATTTCCATAGTCTAGCCAAATTAGTTAATCCTCACCTTTTCTCATACCCAGTAAGGAGTGGGGGTTTTATTTTTTGTTTTAATTCTCATACCTTCTCCCTAATTGCACAAGATGATAGATCTTTTATTCCTCATTATTGCAGAATACAATGAACTTCTCTCCATTCAAAGTGCAAGGTGCACGGGGCGGGGGGGGAAATCACATATTCCCCTTTTTTTCCCTAAATCCCTGGAGAGAAGACCATGAAGAAAGGAACTGTAAATGACAGCTAATTTCTTAATATATCATTGGACATCCTTTCATACCATAGTTAGGGTATGCAATAAGACTTAACAGAATGGGATTACATTGGATTAGCAAGAGGTGGGTCGAGCAGGAAGCTGTGGACAAGAATGTTTAATGTGAGCTGCTGAAAAGTCATCGTCTTCTGTGGGGGGGTTTTAAGTTTTAAATAAATAACAATCTTGATTTTGACAGACTATCATATTGTTGAGACACAGATGCACAGTAAACATGTGGCAGAAGAAAAACCCAGGAAAGTTCCTGGACATGGTAAGGAACCTGGTGCTGATTTGGCTATTTCTACATAAAGTCATGCACGGCAGTTGAGAATTTATACCCCTCCCTTTCCCCAAGTCACATACTCAGCTACATATTTGTAAACTTATCTGTCTCCATCCAGATTGGTGTTGCCCTTGTAACTAAGCAAGGGCAAATAGGACACCAGCCCAGATGCTGACTTACAGGGGGTGCAAAAATAGCACCTACCACCTGCAGCCTAGCCATTAGTGGGGCCCTGTGTGCCACTGCCACCCATGGTGCAGAACTGCCCAGCTGTGCTTCTGAAAACACTTTCTGTTCTTCTTGCAACAGGCCATTCTGGAGCCCTTGGATTCTTCCACAGAATGAAGTTCCAGAAATGTGTATCTCTGAATCATGTTCTTATTTTCTATACAATCCTGTAAGTGGACAAGTTGTTACCAAGACCATCAAATAGCAGGAACTTCTCTTCATAGTTAGATTTTTATAACATTCTGAGCCCATTTCTGAGCTTTTTTTCACTGAAGTCACATAAATCTAAAACTAGAGATAAAAAAAATCATCTTTGTAGTACAAAAGAAAAGAAGCAGTTTATTTTATTTATTTGTAAACCAGTGGGGAACTGTGAATAGCACTTCACAGTAACATTTGTCCTGCTCTATCAGAGCCAGCAGAAAGCAGAAAAATTCTGTTTGTGGCCTATGACCCATGGAAACCTCTAGAGTAATTATAACCAGTTTAAAAGGGTGGGGGGAACCCCTTGAACATGTATTCAAAATATCATTTAGCAGAGCTCTATACACTAAACCTAAGGTTTCGAAAATTTTGTGAAATATTCAGGAATCCAAATCTCTAAGGCAAATCTCAACTTAACACTTGTACAGTGTACAAGTAATAATGTAAAACAAGTGTTTTCAGCTATATCCTGTACAGATTCCACACCCCAACTAATATAGCTCTCTTATTGTGTCTCTTTCTTCCTCTGCAGTGTCTGCATACTAATCTTTTCTACATTCTACATGAGATACAAAATCAATGTCCTGGAGGAACGACTTGTTTCCATGACTTCCTTTGACTCCCACGTTAATGAGTAAGAATGCATCATTTTTTAACTAATACAATTATCTTTTCTGTTGGTCTTGTGTTCTTCAAAAGCCTCGCATCAGATAAGCAACAAAGTGCAATTTATTTTGTGAATCTGCATTAGTCCAGTCTCCTTATTCTTTTTCTTGCAGACATTAGGTATAAACTAACTTAAAAGAAAAGAATCAAGGAATAATCTTAACTACATGACAATTACTGAATCTAGAGTCAGGGTTTTATTGGAGGTCATTTGCCACCTGGGAAAATATGTATGTGGGAAGCTGTTGTAGGGTAGATAGTGCACTATATAAGTTTCCACTGTCCATTATTTCACAGTAATTTTACTTCTGTGCCTATACTCTTAATCTCCACAACAGGCTCTTCAAAACCTCCAGGCTAGTTCTCTAATATTTTTTGTTTGGTGTGAGCTGCTATTCATCCTCTTTAGAAAGGGGTGCTTATGCCTTATCCAAATAAACTCTAATCCCCAGTCAAGATTCTGGTAGAAATCTTTTTAAAAGCATACCAGGGAGGGAGCAGAATTCTTCCTTCTCTGCACCTCCAGATTTCAGAGCTGCTGTAGCTGTCAGTATGTTACTCACATTAATTTAGAGTAGCCATATGCTGATTATGGACTACTACCCAGTTCTGTTCAACCAGAAATTTTGGGGCAATGTCAGGTTACCTCTTCAGCTCTATGCTGTACTCATTAGTGAAATTCTCCCATAAGCTTTTGTTGCAGTTTCATAGCCTATGTACCTTGGCTAAATACAGAGCCCAAGTCATAGGGCTGAATCCATCTGACTTTCCCATCCTTGATGCACCAATTTAGGCCTTGCCTACACTAGAAATGACTCACTAATGTAGTTAGAGTGCAGAGAGATGCATCTTGCACTGGCAAGAATATAATGGCATCCTCAATATTGGCTTCCTAACCTCTTTTGTCTATGTAGTAATACCGCCCTCTCTCCACCCCAACCAACGTCTGAGAAATAATCTAGCTTTTTAGCACTGAACTGTACTTAACTACATATATTCTCTTGTGCCGTCTTCCTGATTGGGCACAAAAGGTCGTAAACAGCAATGCAAAATTGCTATCTGTAGTAAATGTGGCTGCAATGTTGACATAAGTAGCCGGCTAGAAAAGCACCAACTGAAAAACAAGCAGACAAAGGAACAAGGGGACCAAGAGGACCCTGTGCCTCAACTGGGTAGGCGTGTCTGAAAGGTATTTTAAAGGGCCCAACCCCAGTACAAAAATCTTGGCTCAAGTTACCTTAAACTTGTTAATTCCCACTTTTTCTGCGTGGCCAGTTCATGACAACCTCATCAATCTGACAAGACAGAATTGGGCTCTTAGGAAAAGGGGGGGTGGAAGGGAGGAAGGTAATTCCTGTAGATTTATTCAAGGGGCGGGGCATCCCCAAGCACTTGATATAGGATAAGGTTCAGAAGCCATTCCTCCTGGTTTTTAACTTGAATGAGAACCACTTTGTCTCATTGATTGAGAAGGAAGATAATGTTTAACCCTCCAGCAATATTCAGATGCTTAAAGGAAAATGAACCTAATGTACTTCCAACAGCCCCGTGTTTGTAACTTGCTTGAATCCATGTCATTGGGTGCAAGTTCACTTGCACCCTGTGACCTGGAAATGGCTACTGGGAATGGCTTAAGGGTTTTCCACCTACATTTCTGTAGACTTAAACCAGAAGACTGACGTCTATTCAAAAATTACTTCCATGTTGTATTCTTGTAAGCAAGTTTAGCTCTAGCAATGTACCTGTTCAAATCCCTCATTCTTCTCCATGTACACTTTACCTCTTGTTTGTCTCTGTTTCACTCGCACTTGCTATTTTTGTTTAGCAGACAACCAGCACAAGGAGGCCTTGGATCCCACCTGCAACTTAATGCTGATGCCCTCTGTGATGAATTAACAGCTAACCTCATTAAATTGGAAAAGGTAATTCTTTATTGTGGATAATAAGGTAGTTAGGCAAGTGCTGAGTAGTCAGCCAATGAGAACCTCTTGTGCATACCAGTCTTCTGCAGTATATTATCGCCTAAATAGTACATACTTTGGACCCCTGAGGTGGACAATAACAGTAAAGCCTAGGCATACCTATCAGTACAGCCTTTTATGAAAGGCCAGGGTAAGGCAGAGACATTTATTGAAAATTAATCAAAATTCCCAGTAAGTTTAGAAGTTTCCAGTAAATTCAAACGTTCCCAAAAATCCCAGCAAATTCAAAAATCTTCATCCCTGTTGAGTAAGGTAACTATTTCTGACTTTTACTCGTCTTTAAGATCTGTGTCACCAGTATGTTTTGTCCCTAAAATAGAAGATGTTGAAATTCCGGTATCTGCAAATAAAGTGGCTGGAACCTGCCTGTTACTGCTCAGTAACATGAATGCTGTTTTGCCAGCTCTCTGGTCTCTGAAGATGACCTTTGCTCTCTTCCATTTACTAATTGCAGAACTAAATACACTTGCCAGCCTCAGCTGGAAAGTTCAATGAAAACAAGGGTAGACAGAAAGGTGTATTTCCACTTGGTTAAATTTACATGTCAACTGCTGGGAGCTGATCATGAAAATCAGTGTCTTTATTCCACAAGGCTAGCCTGTAAACTGTATCTTTAATAACCTTTCTATTTCAATTCCTATGTCCTGAAATCATAGGGGTTATTTGTCATCTTGGCAAGACAGTGTCTTGACATCCAGAATTTTGGCAAAGTCCACAGTTTTGTTTTGGGGTTGTTTTTTTTTTGTGGGGGGAGGTAATTTTTTTTGGCTAAAGCAAACTTCTCGGGTTGCTTCTAGCTGAGAGTTGACAAATACCATGCTAGCATATAACAAAGATGTGTAGGTAGCATTATTCTCTACTCTCACTTCTGTATTTTTGGAGTAATGCTATTGACTTCAGTACCATGTTACTGGTTACAACTAGCATGAAAGGAGAATTTTTTTTCACCAGATAGTAACGTGTGTTAAACACTCATGCTGCAATCCTTATCCACTTAAATGGGACCACTCACATAAGGTTCAACAAAGCATGCAAGCCTAGGTTTTAAATCCCAGGGATTTCAGTAGGCCCTCAGCATGTATGTTAACGCTAAGTGCTTTGTTCATTTTCAGCCTAACAATCGAACCCTTTAACAAGGTCTTAACTTTGCTTGGCCTCATTCTTGAATTGCTGTCAATATAGTGTCATAGTCTAGGTGTCCACTGAAAAAAAGTTGCTGCAATATCAATATCTCTTTCTCTTTGTGCCATTAGCACTTTTTAGAGAAGAGTTCAAAGCGCTAATTTAGAGGATTGCTAATCAGCTATTTGTGGCTCATGTATATTAAAGCATGCTTACTTTCTTTTCTGCTCATTAGCTTTTAAAAAGGAGGAAAAAAACACTTATTTAAAAAAATTCACATACTTCAGGATTAGCTTAAACTTCTTTGCCGCCCTCCCCCCCCCAACAAAAAAAAAAATCTGTTTTGTAATTGGATCATCTCTCTCACTTTTTTTTTAAATATGATCCTTGTGGTACTTCTAGCTCTACTGCCTTCTATGCTTGCAGCCAGTGAATTCCCACCAGCTTAGTAGCAGAATACCTTGGCATTTTAGGTGTGGTATTTTGCTAGGTTTTATAGTATGTACCTGCTGAATATACCAGGGCGTCCAGCAGATAAGTGCATGACTGGAGGAGGAGACAATCCCAAGTGGATCTCTCAAATCCTGACTGAAGTTTGTGGGCAACTCCTCTGCCTCTTTTAGTAGGAAAATAAAATTAAAATGTAGTCTCTGAGCACATCACAAAAATATCAACCTTAAACCTAATTTCATCTGCCCCTTACCTGCTTTTTTAGGGGAGTAAAGTATATGATTACACTAAGCATGAGCAAGAGAATGTGGGGGAGGAAATGAGATGGTGGCTCTAAAGAAACTCTTTCGTTCTAATTATGGGTCAGCAAGGGTCTGGGATCTAAATTTAGCTATCTGTAACCAATGGTTAAGATAGTTAAGAGTCTGGTGAAATATCCACCATGACATCCTATGACAAGGTGAGAGATAAATAAGGAAAACATGGTCATCTACACTAAATTAAACACAACACACACTTCCTTGAGTCAAAGATGATTCATTTTAGCTGCCTTGTTCTGCTTTGTGACAGTTCCTGGAACCAATGGTAGAGCTCTATGTCCACACTGTGGTATTAGCTGCTCTCTTGAGGCAGCTTACACTTGGGTGTAGGAAATACGTCCCCTTCCACCTGTGGAGTACAGATATTTTGCCCCTAATTTTCAGAGGATGGAGTACACCTATTTCCCTCCAAGTCAAAACCAGTGAGAGAGAAGGGCAGCTGTGGAACAGAAAATGTTCCAAAGTCCATGCCCCTCTCTTCCAGGATCCCCAGTTAAGTTGATGTAAATGGATTTTTTTTCTTTAACTAAGTATATCTACCATTTAATGTACACAAATGGCCATCATGGTGACTGAATTAACTGGCATGCTCATATTAATTGAAGAGAGCTTTCTAACTTGCTGTGTCAATAGCACTGACGTTAGCTGAACCTCCTGATTTAATTTTGTCTCACTACCACCACCACCACCACTTTTTCTTTTCTTTTCTTTTAAGATACAAAACAACTTGCGAAGACTACTTGAAGATGGCGAATAAAATCTTGATGTTCTGGAGCTACTTCATACCTCATTCTCCTGTTTCTGATAAGCAGCTCCAAACACAGCTGTGAACTCTGCAGGCCAGAGTTAGTGTCCTTTCTTTAATCCAAAGCCATATTTAGACTGCTGCAGTAGCTCTTCCATCCTAAGAAGGTGGAGGGTAGACTATTCTTGTGCAATAAACTATATCCAAGTATTCTCAAGTTAATTTTTCCCCTATTGTCTCTATTGATGTATAAATAACAATGTGATTTTATAGTTTGGGGGCAAATTTTTGTTCTTGGTTATGGAAGTGTAAATCTGGAGTAACTCCATTTTACCTAAGTATGTGGATTTTTCATTCACATTACTGTGACTGAGACCAAAACTTGGTCCTTGACATTTTAATTCCTGAAACAGTATAAGCAAAAATGTAATCTATTTTACAGAGATCCCAGTCTCGTTAATAGTAGCTGAAAGTAAATACTACATCTTTACTTATCCATCCTTATGCCACACTTCTCCAAAATCTAGGCATGTGTCAAACTTCTTACTGCCTGAGCTTAACCCACGCTCTCAGATTTTTACAAAATAGTCTTCCCCTCCCCCTCCCCCTCCCTCCCATGCACCCAGTGAACACTTCTTCAAAATTAAGATAGCAGTATAAATGTATTATCCAAGCACTGTTCCTAGAATATATTGTTTAGATTTTTAAGATCTATCCCTGTAATATAGTTTCCTCATGCTTCTCAGTGCTAGGACTCCAAGTCAACTTAAGAGGGTTGAATATGGTCCTAGCAGTGCAGTTCCTCAACAGCTACTGAGTCATGGGGCTTATTTTTGTTGACTCCATCCCCCTGTCTATTCTTCATGATGGGAACTGTCAAATTAATTAAATTATAGTAACTAGAAACCATTCTATTGGAGTGAATGAAGTGGCTGACTCCTTTGTTACATTATGCTATTGTTTTCACAGAGCTGAAATTGAAGTAATTGAGGGGGTTTTTTTAATTCTTTGGTCTGTTTCCATAAGGCAATATTAGCATAAAATAGGACCTATAAAAACAGTATTTTAAAATATATGCTATGCATTTTATAACCATTTCTGTGAAATGTACATTACTTTGTTTAAATAAACTTTTTAAGAAGTGTGGTGTTTTGGTGTTACTTTTATCTGCCTGTAACAGGGGGCCTTCTCGGGGCCGATCTCACTGTGGCCCACCCACCTGTTTCTGGGCTAACTGCCTGCCTTCTCACCCGCCACGCCTTGTTGGTATCTAATTAATACATGTCAAATAAGTGGGAGGCTGCCCATTTCTTGCCCCAATGCCAGGGGGCGCTATCCACGGCTTTGTTCCTCCCCTACACCGCAGCCCATGCCTCACAGATGGCATCTGGATATTGTCACAATCACCAGCCCCACTCTGGGCCCCATAATCCTAGTGCTGAACCCCTCTATGATCCCTCCATTCCAGTGGCCTAATCCGCCTTCATCCTGGGCAGCATAGCTCCCTGAACTGCTTCCCCTTCCGGGTGTGGTCCCCCCGGGCCCTTTGGCTCTACTGGCCCTGGCCTACCTCCAGGCCAGTCGGAACCCCAAGCCCTCAGCTCTGGGCGTCCCTCGTGGTGGGCCCCCAGCCCTTCCAGTCCTGGCCCCAGCATTGACCAGTCAGGGGAAGTCCAGACCGGCATGAGTCTATGGCCTTTTCTCTCTCTCTGGGGGTCCACCCTCCAGACCCTACAAAGGGGTAACCCACCCAGTCACGGGGGTTAATGGTTATGGCACCCTGACCCAACTTTCACTGAGGTGATAACTGGCCTGGCATTTCCTGGGGGCTCCCATGCCACTGGGAGCCCCACCAGGCCACCTACTCCCAGCAGGGTGCAGTTTTAGGTCATACTCAGGACCAGGAGCCTCCTTACCTCCAGATGATACCTGCAACCAGCCAATATTGTTGCCTGGCCCAGCAGCAAAACTGCCCTGTTTATGTGGGCAGCCCTAGGCTCAAAATGGCTGCCCTCATCTGGCACCTGGCAGCAGCCAGCTCCAGGTCCTTAAAGTGGCAGGCACAAACAGTGCCCTGCCACACTGCCTATGCCATAGGCTTTTATTATTCTGCATATTGTTGATGAAAGTCTCACTGATGCATATAGAGATAGGAAACCAAACTTAGGAACAGGGTTTATTCCTCCAATCCAGGGGCCAAACATCACACAGCACACTGTCAACCAGACAGAACCAGCTACCCAAACTGAACAAAAATTACAGTAGCCAGTGCAGGGGGAAAACCCAGTGGTCTGCTTAACTATTTTTGCTATTAAACACTTGCCTTCATTCACACATTCTTCTATGGACCAGTCAGGTCTCTGTTGCTAGACCATAGTCCCCCAGAGGCTAACCTGCTCCAAGCTCCCCATTGTGAAGTAGCAGGCTTAAACCAAACCTTTCATAGAGATGGTGCTCAACTAGCAGCCCATGGGCTAAATCCAGCCCACAGAGCCCAGTCATCCAGCCCCTACAGCTCCCCATGGGTCCAGAAATAGGCAGCAGGGGACCAGTGGCAGTGTCAATTGCTGCTCCCCTGTTCCCAAAATTCCAGACCCTTGGGGAGCCTCATGGGCCATGTAACCTGGCCATATGTGCTTTATCACTGATCTACGGTGGGGCCAGCATGTGGAGTCACTCTGCAGCCAGAGCTGGCACACGGTCTGGGTCTCTCGTGGTCCAGATCCCGTATACTGGATCCAGGCTCTGGGGGAAGAAGGTTGAGCACCTCTGTGTCACAGGAACACAGATATGGTCCCCAGGTTACAATACACAGAGCTCACATAACCTTTTGTAATCAGACATACTGATCTTGTTGCAAATCTATCTTGCTCTTTCTAGTATAACCCACTAGGCGCAAAGCATCTAGAGTCTGAACCAAAGCCAATGGGAGACTTTTCATTGTTCCTACACTGTACACTAGATAAGGTCTTCAGTATAAATTGTGGAAACACCTTGGCCAATTGAAGGATCTGGCTCTATACTTGTAGCATGTTGCTGGGCACTTTTGGGAAAACAGTACATGAATAATATGGGACAGATGATTTGTGTAGCTGAGCCAGGAGCAGAAGTGGATTGAACCCAAAGTGCAGTCTTTCCACGCCAGGTGGAAAGAGTGCCCAATGGATTCACTTTGGGTTGATGTGGCTTCCTCACAAGTTGATTCTGAGGCAAATGCTATAAAGCCTCTGCAGCATGCAGGAAGTTAAAGTTCATGTACCTTCTCTAACCCAACACAGCTCTTGACCACACCAGAATGACTGAGTATGGCCAGCTGAAGAGGGCTGTAGGCTAGCAGTGACCCTCATCCCAGAAATTAAAGTACAAAATGGTTATCAAATAAGGGCTAACAGCTTTCTCCATGACACTATATTTTGAAAGAGTACTAAATGTTGTTTGCTTTGATTCACCCATCACTTTGATTCACCCTTTTGCACAGCCTGGAGCAGAAAAAGGTTAAGGACAGACAAGGCTTACCCCAGTCTTGCTTGTTTTAACATTTGTGAATATTATTCATTTTTAATTTTTTATGGAGATGAAATGGAGCTATGTTCTCCCATCTTGGTGAGAGGAGAGGTTTCTAAATTTGAAGGTGATAGAAATAATCTTCTCAAGCAATTCCTGTAATTACAAGGCAGAGAGAAATGGTCCCAAACAAGAATCAAATTACTTTGAAGGAAAAATCCAGCTGCCCCACCTATGAACAGGAATTAGGATGCAGCAGCATACTATTCTGGGAAGCTCTGATTTACATACATCTCAAGTTCTTCTCAACTTTAGTGTTAAGGTACTCTGTGTGTGAGTGTAAAGGAGAGATCAAGCTAGTAAGCTAAGGACTACTGTCTTCTAAAGACATGGATGAAAAAAGCATGTGCTAGACTTCCCCAAAGAGTAATTTTGTTTTCTACAAGCTTAAAAGAAAATGGACTATAGAGAACTGGAGTTTTCAGAAGCAGTTAGTGATGCTGAGTGCCCAACTAGACATTTTATAAAGTCACTTAATTTTTCAGGAAGTTCTAAGAATTCACCTGCATGTCACAGTCCTCTCCTCCCCTAGATGTTAAAAACTATTAAAATTAGTCACCTGTGCTTTGAGGGAAAATGGTCATCTAATATATTACACCAAGGGCTGTGTTGTTCAGGATTTTTTCTCTGCACTTTCAGGGGTGTAATAGCCTGTCAGATTAATTTAGTCTATGAGCATGCAAGCAGACTCAACTTGGTGCCCGTCTGTTTTTGTTGTTTGTTTGTTTTTTATAATGCAGACATTTATAACAGGACCAATGGTATTCCTGAAAGAGAATGGGAGTGCTCATAGCAGCAGTAGTTTAATTAAAGGGGGGTCCTGAGGGGGTACCCCAGGTGTTGCCTTTGGTGGGGGTTGGGGGGGAGGTAGGGGGAAAGGACACAAAAATAGCCCCTGCTGTGGTACAAGCAGTAATCATTCATGCCTTAAATGACTAAAGGGAAAGAAACAACCACCCAGAGCCAATAAAAAAAGCATCTAA